TATGCGCTCTAGTAGTACTTAGTACTTTTGAGAAGCATGAAAGTATGGAGAGGCCTATAGTTTGATAAGGTAGAGTTATCTCCGCTTTTGAATATCGGAACTAAGCGTGCTTATTTTAAATTTTCAGTTTAAACTCCAATTTTTAACGAGAGATTTAAGATGTACAGTAGGGGATATTCAATAACATTATAACCTTCTTCAAGGCCCGGACTTTTCTTTGATTGTATTATTTTAAATGCATTTCAAAGCTCATCAGAAGATAAGTCAAACTCGTCCATTACAAAGTCCACTTCTTTTAAATATGCTTCTAATATCTTTTTTACTTTGAGTTATTTTATTAGCTTGTGTCTTTCCGATGTTTATAAAACAATTGTTCAAGCCTCAACAATCTTTCCAAAATACAATAATCATTAACATCAAGATAACCTTTATATATCATTTTGTGTATATTATGTTCATTAATCGTACCTTTAAGACTCCATAGATAAAAATAAGACAAAAATTAAAAAATATAAAATAATATGTATAAAAATATAGCGTCTAATATTTTATACAAAGACTCAAAAGTTGATACATATAATGTATTGATACATATAATATCCTAAAATAATTTTTTGGAAAATATTTAATGATTAAATGTATAAATTTTCAGAAATAATATTTGTATTATATAATGGACAAAGTTTAGCTATTACCTAAATCATTATGTATACCACATATAACTTAAATAATGAAAAACATTTATTATACTGTCTTAGCTGCTTATCAATCTAGCAATTTACACCTGAGTTTGATTATATAACAAAAGAAGATATTTTTATTAACAACGTTCATTTGACGTCTAAAGATAAATGATTAGTCAATGCTTTGGAACAACTACCTTGTGAAACAGCTAATGATTATAATGCTTAATGATACATATAAAATATTGATAAATTCATTTTTTAATAGAGGGTAAAAAGGAAGATTACTAAAAAATATCAGAATAAATCTTCGATTGTAAAAATGAGTTCTTTAAGCTTTCGTTTAAAAGAAAACTAGTTTTTTTGATGAATAAAATCCTCATTAAAATTTTTTAAAACTATTTTATTCCATAAGAATGGTCCGCGATAATCAAATTTAAAAAGAATTGTTTCAAAAATGGGCTGCCTAATAAAGTTATAATTGCGTAAAATGTATTTATTTTTATCTTTTAATGAATATAAATTATGGAAAGAAATCAAGGATGAAATGGTTTTACATTTAAAGAATCTTTAAAATATTAAGCTCATATGTATTAAAAACTTTCATTTCAAATAATAGAGGCTTTGCATGAGTATAACGGTCTTTAAAATATATAAGACGTGCTACATGATTCTATTGACAATGAAGAGGTTTAAGTTTATTTTTATTTGTACTACCCGCAAGCATAGTTTGCATAGTTTATGTGATTAGTCAATGCTTTTAAGTTAGTCAATGCTTTTAAGTTTTATCAATGTTTATAAATGAGTGATTTAATTGTACTAAAGTGCGTTTATTTAAAACATTTCTTGCTTTGCACAATATTCCTATTCTTTTTAAAATTTTACTTGATAAGTTTTTAATGTGATTTTTCCATGTAAGATTTTCATCTATAAAAAGGCCTAGAAAGTTGGTTATAGGGCCGACGATACGGGTTTTAAAGTGGGAGGGGAGGCACAATTATCAATTTGTGAAAAAAGTCCTCTATACCAAGATTTTTCTTAAATGAAAAAAAAAAAAAGGTATTCTAGAAAAAAAGTGTGTGGGTGGGAGGGGCACGTGCTCCCTTGGCCACCCCTGGTGTTGTCGGCCCTGGGTTACTGTTACTTTTTTAATTTCTATACTGTCAATAACAGGTTGAGGCATGTTAATTTGAGATAAGAGATAATTTGTAAGTCTTAAACCAGTCAGATATTTTGATTAACTCGATGTTTACGTAATAAAATAGAGTAGGAATGCTTTTGTGTGACATAAATAAATTAGTGTCATCAGCAAACATAACTGATATTAAATCCGAAACTTTGTATAGATTATTAATATAAATAAGGAAAAGAAGAGGTCCTAATATGGATCCTTAAGGAACTCCACATATAATATTTAACAAATTTGATGAAAATATTTCATTGGCGTAAACGTATTATTTATGATTAGTTAATTAACTTTTCAACCATTTTAAAACATTGCCTGTTATATTTGCTGCATCATCAGAACTGCTTTATTTGACTTTAACGATGCTTTATTTGACTTTAAATGTCTGACGTTGCTGTTAGTCATTTTACCATAAGCAAAGTATGCACCACCTGGAAGAAAAAAATTTAATGAAATAAATTGCCATTTTTACCTTCTTGATATTATTGATTACTATTGAAGTAATTAGAGAATGAGAATTGCAAAGTGTTTAAAAATGATTGTATGGCAACCTTGATTATGTTTGCTATGAAAAAAATGAATATAAAGACATTAAAGCTGATCAACAAGAATTTGTAAATTTTACAGGCAATAACAAGTTTCCACGAGGTATCATTCCAGTGTTGTGAAACCACCTTCATATTCTTTTGCATATTTGTTTTATTTTGCATTATAGTCACACTGTAAATAGTATGTAACAAATAAGCATAATGTATAAAATAATAAAAAAAATATAAAATAATAAACAAAACATAAAGTGTAAAACTTTGAAAGCAACTCTTCGAGCAGCATTTTGTAATACAACCGCAATCAAACAAGTGTGTGTGTGTGTGTGTATGTATGTGTGTGTGTTTTTGTGTGTGTGTGTGTGTGTGTGTGTGTTCAATGTAATGTATCTATGCTTGTAGCATTTGGGGAATTTCTAACTGAGCATGCAAAATTTAATTTAGTTGTTTTGCAGACTGGTTTATTTGGAAAATTGCATAAGCCAAACATTTTATAATTAGAAACATGTTATTTCTCTGTTGATGGAGTTGATGATGATGATTTTTTAAATGAACTTGACTGCAAGACTTCACAATATAGATAGTGAGGAGTTATTAGGTATGTTTAGTGATGAGAAAGTGTGACCCCCTAACGCAATAATTTGCTATATCTCTTGCAAAGTAAGATCAGTAAAAAAGTAGGACTGTGGATTATCTGGACAGAATTATTTTAGTAGATCATCTAGTGAGAATTTTTCTTTTAAACTTAGTTTAAATGAAAAATTTGTTAAATGTTACAGTGGTAGTTGTAGTACATCTTAATTACGCATCTTTAATTAATTAAAAAATCGTTTTAAAACATTTTTATTAACTTTTTTACATTTTTTAAGGTTGTATGGGGAGAGAGGAGGATGGAGGAGGAAGGAGGAGGAAGGAGGGGATTGGAATATGTTTCTTCTATTAACTAATGTAAACATCTTTTATATTTATGATCTTTTATATTTGTGACATATTCTGTATGTTAATTATACTTTTATTAGTAACGATAAAAATATGTAAAAAGTAAATAATTTTCTATTGTGTGTTAGTCATCATCACTATACCTACCTCTCTAACATACCTACCTCTAACTCTCCAACCTCTAACATACACCTCTAACTCTCCCAACTCTAACAACCTTTCATATAGGTTAATGGTCTGATACAAAAAACTATAATAAAATTATTATAGTTTTTTGTATTTTAAAATTCATACTTTCGACAAAAGGTGCATTATTCAAAAAATTTAATAACATTATTAAATAAACAAAATAAATGCTATAAAATTGGGTTAATTTTTGTAAAAGATCTCCCAAAACGAATCGTTTGCGCGACTATTTAAACTAAGTGTCGTGTAGACTGGAATTATTTTACGTTTGGGTCAGATGCTCGATAAACCACCATGTTACCTAATGATACGGTAACATGATGGTTTATCGAGCATCCTTTTGTAGATTTATTATGATTTAAATAGATAAGGCTTATCTATACTCATAGTTTTACATTGGAAATTGATACTTGCACTAATATCTTTCTTTTTAGCTAGAGATTTTGAAAGATAATATGTATATATATATATATATATATATATATATATATATATATATATATATATATATATATATATATATATATATATATATATATATATATATATATATATGTATATATATATATATATATATATATATATATATATATATATATATATATATATATATATATATATATATATATATATATCTTGAGAAACTGTATTTTTTCTTGTAAAAATTAAGATTTTTGATTTTCAAAGTCTTTAAATCTAAAATAATGAATTATCTTTAAAATCTCTAACTAAATACAGACCTAATACACTAAGTAGCATTTGTAGAATTTTTTCATAAATGAAGTAAAAGATAAATATGAGTTTATCTCTGATGTTTTTATGTCACTTTTTGACTAACTTTCAGAAAATTGGCAGCCATTTAAAAAAAAAACTATATTTTGATATTTGCTTGAAAAAAAAAAATATTTTTTATAGAGACTTTATCTTGTATGTTAGAATGTAAATGTTATAAAAATGTTTATTTATTTGTCACTTGACATTTTAACATTTTATTTAAATATTCTATAGTTGATAAAAGTAGTAAGAGATTGCCGATTCAGAGGGATTTTTTATTTTCAACCATATTTTCAACCATAAATTAATATTAATATTGGGGTTAACATTGAACCATATTGTATATAATTTATTTAGATAAGAAATAATTTTTTATTTTAAAAAATCAATTTTTTAAAATAAGTGTTAATTTTTATTTCTTGTTATGAAATATTACGAAAAATTCTTGCATGACGTCACAGGTCACGTGACTTTTTCTTGCTTCTTATTTATACCCTAATTCATGTAAATATTTTATTACTTCATGATTTCCACTTTTAACAACACAATTAAATTCATAATCTGAAGCTCTATACCCTAATTCATGAAAATAATTTAGCAATTCAAGGTTGTCATTTTTAACAGCTTTTTCAAAAGCTTGATTAAATTCATAATCTGAAGCTCTATACCCTAATTCATGAAAATAATTTAGCAATTCAAGGTTGTCATTTTTAACAGCTTTTTCAAAGCTTGATTAAATTCATAATCTGAAGCTCTATACCCTAATTCATGCAAGTATTTAATTAATTCAAGGTCGTCATTTTTAACAGCTATTTCAAAAGCTTTATCATTTGTGTATTTTGAAGCTTTTTGCATTAATTCATTAAAATATTTAATTACTTCAAGATTTCCACTTTCAACAGCAGAATCAAATGTATGTTCTGAACCTTTATACCCTAATTCAATTAAATATTTTATCATTTCAAGATTTCCACTTTTAACAACACAATTAAATTCATAATCTGAAGCTCTATACCCTAATTCATGAAAATAATTTAGCAATTCAAGGTTGTCATTTTTAACAGCTTTTTTAAAAGCATCATCAAATTCAAGTTCTGAAGCTCTATACCCTAATTCATGCAAGTATTTAATTAATTCAAGGTCGTTATTTTTAGCAGCTTTTTTAAAAGCATCATCAAATTCAAGTTCTGAAGCTCTATACCCTAATTCATGCAAGTATTTAATTAATTCAAGGTCGTTATTTTTAGCAGCTTTTTTAAAAACATCATCAAATGTATCTTCTGAAGCTCTATACCATAATTCATGAAAATAATTTAGCAATTCAAGGTTGTTATTTTTAGCAACTTTTTTAAAAGCATCATCAAATGTATCTTTTGAAGCTCTATATTCTAATTCATTTAAAAACTTCAACATTTTAATGTTGTTATTTTTAGCAGCTATTTCAAAAGCATTATCTACACTTCTTTTTTTTGATTGGATTAAATATTTAATCAAGTCAATTTTTCCTATTTTTACAGCAAAATAAACTTTATTACCTTGTTTATACCCATATTTTTTTAGATTATCATTTAGATCATAATCAATCATACCATCTTTATCTTCATCATATTCATCATCACTCATGTCATCATCATCACTCATGTCATCATCATTCATTTTATCATCTTTATTAATCATTTCATTTTCATTATATTCATCATCTTTATTAATCATTTCATTTTCATTATATTCATCATCAGTCATTTCAATATCATGAATATTAATAATATTTAATTTTTCTTCAACTAATCTTAATCTTTCATTTATTGATTTTAAAAATAAATTTTGCATTTCGTTTTCCATTCTTTTTATATATAAAAGAAAATTATTTAAATCATTTTCAATTTTTTAATTTTTTTTAATGCGCATGCGCTAGTTCTTACTGTATTTTTTTTTTAAATCCTATTTTACGTAAATATTTGAGTTCAACTGTATCTTTTGAACATTTATAACCTAATGATTGTAAATACTTGAGTACTTCATTTAATTCCCAATTTGTTCCTCTATATCCTTTTGAATGTAAATATATGAGTGCTTTAAGACTTCTACTTATTTCAACGAAATCAAGTGTATCTTTTGTACCTTTATATTCTTTTGAATGTAAATATTTAATAATTTCAATGTCTCCATTTAATGCAGCATAATCAAATGCATAACTTGTACCTTTATACCCTAATTCATGTAAATATTTGAGTGCAGTAAGATCTTTATCTCTTACAGCTAAATCAACTGAATCTCCTGAACATTTATAACCTAATGAATGTAAATATTTTATTTTTTCTTTATCATCTTCTTTTTGTATTTTGTTTTCCATTCTTTTTATATACACAAGAAAATTATTTAAATCATTTTCAAATTTTTTTTATTTTTTAATACGCATGCGCTAAGATTTACTTAAGCATAGTAGCATTGTCTTAACAATATTATATAGAATCTCTTATAGCATATAATTCAAGTTCAGTTGCAGTTACTAAAGTAGTTGAACTATTTTCAATGTAATTAGTATATACAGGAAAAACATTAGCAGATCCATCTGTAAAACTGCTATTTGTACACACAGGTGCCCAATATCCACCACCTGTATCTAGTGTAAGTACCGCTCCTAAATTCATCATGCTTTTTGTAGTTGTCAAATTTAATCCGCAAAATCCTTGTCCTGTGTTTGTATTACCGAATGGTGTTTCAGTTGATATGAGTTGTGCAATATTTTGATAATGCATAGACATCATTGGAAGGAATGCTTGTTTAAATATAATACTTTTCCATTCACCATTAATTTTATATTTTAAGCGATATTTATAATATCCATCTTTGTTTTTATAAAAATAGTTATTAGATAACTGACTATATTTTGTAGCTGTAGTTGGATTAGCACTATCAAAATTAAGTGATCCATAATAATTAGTTGGAAATAAATCTGTTGATACTTGTCTAACAATTAGCGTTTCTCCTGGTATGTAAATTGGATAATAAATACTATTAGCATTTAAATTATTTTTAGCTACAATTAATGCATTATAAAATTGTTGAGCTAAAAATAATTGTTGACGTGAGTCGTAATGTACGGTGTCGTCGTTTGTAATTCTCATAGAAGGTGGAAGATTAGTAATAAATATGCTTGCAGCGTATGGAATATATTCTCCAATAGTTGAAAGCGCATTTTGAACTGGTGTTGCTCTTGCTGAATTAGCTGAAACCCATCCAGGCCTCATTTGAAAAGTAAGGAATGGAATTGTATTTGATTTTGCTTGGGAATTTGTTAACGTGTAAAACTGATTAGATGAATACCCTATATAATCTCTTATGGTTTGAATAAAGTTTACTAGAATATGTCTATAATTATTATTCCAGCCATCTATAGATTCATTTTCTCCTTGAGCCCAAGTCATACCACAAAATTCTGCGTTATAATGTGATAAAATATATCTAATTCTACGAGTTAAATTTCTAAATCCAGTACCATATGGCATAAAATAATCATCACTAAAACCTCTTGCACCTAACATACATGGAAGTATCATTAAACTTTCATCTGAATGTATTATATTTAATGTGTTTGAAGTATCAGCATCTTGCATTATTAAACCGGCTAGTATTGAACCATATCCAGCATAACACATATTATCTGATTCATTTACTTCAAGTCTAAGAGAACAAGGAAGTAACACATCATTTTGTCCATTATCCATTGCAAATTGTACTATTCGTCTATGCATATAATTTACAGTAGTTATTGCAGCAGAATGACCCCATTCTCTACCATAATAAGTATTTGATTGTCCAGCTACAATCAAAACTTTATATTTACGAGGATAAGGAATTATTCTTTCTATATAATTTGTAATAAATTCATATGTTGAATCAATATATTTTTTTGTAGCAGCGTCCTGTGCATTAGTAGGATCAACTACATTGATCAATTTATGTGAATTCAAATTTATATTAGCATTCATACTATTAGTTCCATCTAGTTTTAAACATGCACTGCTAGAAGTTTGATTATTATCTACATAATTCTTTGTAGCTGCATCTTGTGCATCTGTAGGATCAGCTACATTGATTAATTTATGTGAATTTAAATCAACATCAGTAGTGGTTGAATTGCCAACATTAATGTTGATATTTAATCCATCTGTTGTGTAACCATATAATGAATTACTACCAGCTATATTCATACTCATTTTAAATATGCTATATTTTTTTAATTCAATATAATGAGTTTTCAATACTTTGAAAATCAACACCTTCATCAAGCTTTTTTAATACATAAAGACACAAGTGTCCGCAAAAAGAAGTGTCTCCAAACTGAATCCTTTTACTATTATAATAAACAGGACTGTGTAAATATTGAACAAGTTCAACTGGAGGTGGTAGTGCATAAGAGTCAAAACTTAATTTTTCTTCTCCATCTTTATACCAACAAATCCAATGAAATCCATTCGTACTTGAATCTCCAGTATTTAATATTCCACATTCTTTGTTTTGTGTATTTTTAGGTAATTCATCTCTTACAAATACACCTCTAAAATTTTTAATTTTTAATTTTTTTGCTGCTTTTATTAATTGAAAGTTTGTTAAGGGTACATTTGGCAATATAATTCCTTCAACATTGATATGTTTGTCCATTTTTATTACTTTATTAGATTTTTTTAGATCTCTTTAGATATAAAAAATAACTTACCTGTGTGTTTGCCTGCCTGCTTGCCTGTTTATTTCCAATCAATCTGAAATGAAAAGTTGGGTTTGGGTTCTGAAGGAACCAATGTTTTATTCTCTTTTAATTTATAATGTCCATATGCTAATGTGTGAATACCATCTTCTTGAATTACTCTTTTATCATCTTCTGCACTCAATGCTATTTTGTTTATTTCTTCAGTATAAACATCATGTAAATGAGATCTTATGACATTCATTTTTCTCATCTGATCTTTCTTATTTATAAGGCAGTCTTTATAATCTTCATGTGTAATATAATTTTTTACTACATTTCTCTTTACTCCTTTACATCTCTTTTTATCTTCTTCATCTATTTTGTAAGAATACAACTTTGATCTGAGTCCAATAAATTCCGTAATTTGTTTTCCTGCTGACTCATCTTTAAACATTCCTATTACTTTCTTATTTACACCAACTTTAAATCCATTTTGAACAGCTGGATGATCTTTATTAAATTCACTTGTATCAAATCTACTTTCAATATCATTAGAAATATCTTTATAAAAATCTTCTGTTTTTATTTCATAGATTAATGAATCTGTATCTGTATATAATAGTTTAGCTTTATCTCCATATTTATTTTTTATGTAATCATAATGAAATTCGTACATTAGTGTTTTGCTCAAATCTAAAATACACATACCCAAGTAAATGGGTTTGTTATATACAAGTTTTGTTCTTTTCATATGTATTGCAATTAAATTTTCATCAAATATCGTTCTACTTTCATAATTTGGTTTTGATGATAATTTAATAGCTTCTTCTCTTTTAGAAACTAATCTTACATCAACTCTGTTTTCAATGTTCTCCATTGTCTTTCCAAATACTGAATTGTTCATAAGTTTAAAAAAGTCTTTTTCAAAGTCATTTGTTGCTTTTGTTCTTAGATTTGTGTTGAGTTCAATGTATTTACTCAACCATGCACTTTCTTCAAACTTTATTCCTCTGTGAATTTTTGTTATTTTCATTCCTAATCTTTCATACAGTTTTAAGTTTTCATAGTGAATGATATAATTTTTCTTATGATTTAAATTAGGTATTAATTTATCAACTTTGTCTATTTTTAATCTTTCAGGGGCTAGAGGATAATCATTATGAACATCATGTAAATGTTCAGGATATTCTAAATCTACATCTAATATGCAAGAAGTAGATTTCCAATTTTTTAATTCTTCTTCATTCATCCATTGAAATCCATGTGTAGGAAGTGGTATACTCATTGCCCATCCATATAAATTATTTGCATCTAGATACTGTATGTAAGTAGATTCTTTACTTTCATCATAATTTTCAATATATTTATTGTTAGCAGTTCCTAACCTGTTGGAAACCATACTAATTCCACCTCTTATTCCTTCCTTTATCATTAAGATCATATCATAATCACTTAATAATTCTAATTTTACTTCTGTTATTTTCAACGCAGCATCCCAAGCTAATCCTGGTGCTGTATAGTACCAAGCAGGATCTAATTTGTAATTGTTAAAACAGACATCTCTAAAATTTTCAAAGACATCAGCTAGTAATAATACATCAGATTCGTTATATAAATTATGGTAATCTCTAAATGTTTTACATTGAAACTTTTCCCATACAGTTTGAGCATGTAAATAATCTTCATCACTTATTCCTTCATCATTTAATTTTGAATAAAATGATTCTTTTGGTGGTAGTTGTGTTTCATTTAATTTATCAATAGAGTCAACCCATTCATAAGGATAAACACCTTTTCTTAACAATAAATTGAGTTCATTTCCAGAATAGTATCTACTAATATTTTTACATTGATCTTTTGACAAATTTTTAGTTAAACTATCTAAACTAGCAGCCATAAATTTAAAACTATCTAGAAAACGTAGATACAGTTTAACTTCAACTTTTTTACCTTCTCTATTAGTAAATTCATTTACTTTAAGTTCTTTAGAAAAGCTGATATACTTTTCTTCATTGTTAGGAATGCAATTTATTTTACCTGACAATTTCTTTATGAACAAGTGAGAGTCATAACCAGATAACTTGTGAAATAGTACTGGAATGAATTTTGGAATTTTAAATTGTAAATTACACTCATTATGTGCAGCACCTCTATATTTTCCAGTAATATGACAATGATCTCGTACTTTATCATTATTAAGATCTTTTTCACAAATGTGGCATTTTTCTGCATTATCAAAATTATTTTTGTCTTTCATAGTAAATATCATATTTTTTTTAAATTTTAAATAATCGTTGTAAATCTTTTTTACATCTACTTCTAGCATATTAACAAATTTTTGTGCTACATCTTCATCTTCATTACTTGCAGTGAATGTAACTAGTTTACTTTGATATATTTTTTCATCAAAGCATTTAATATAGTAACAAAATGAACTAGGTGTATGCTTTTGGTACTGCTTTGTATAAGATTCATTTGGATTAGGTGTACAAGTGTTGATTGGTTTTATAACACTTTCAAAGTCAGCATAGACTACAAAAGGAACTCTCATAGATTTTTTAAAATGATTAAACTCAATCATTGTATTTGGTTTTGGAAGTTCAATTCGTACTGAATCATGAGTATCACAATACAATTGATGCTTTGATAAAGATTCTTCAGTATTAAATCCTGACAAGCAATTTCTACAAAAAAACATTTTATGTTCATTTTTAGATATTTGTGATGAAAGTAATCTACTTAAACTTTTTATTAAACAA